AAATATAAAAGACAAAATGTATTAATAAAAATAAAAGAATTTGTTCTGTAAAATTTGGATTCAGTCAAAAGGCCACACTTAAGGACCTAGAAGGACCTCACAGCCACAGGTTCCCCACCCTTATGATAGCCAATCCCCTGATCAAAGGAATGATATAAAAGAAATGTGTAAGAAAGGTTATTTTTAAACTTTTGGAAGAATTCAAGAGGAGAGAAATAGTACAGATGTCTATTAGGACTAATAGGATACCTGCAACAATCTAAGGTTTGGGTAATAAGTTCCTAAATTAGGGTGACTTGGATATGGGAAGGAATGGTTTATAGAATTCCCAGTGAAAAAAATAGCTATTTATATAAGCGTAAATACTTTAAATGCATTGAAATAAGAAATAAATTGCTATTATTAGAATTCCGTATTGCATGACTTACTATATGTCTGAGAATCAATTCCTCTCTTGCTATTTTCCATTAATACAAATTGCTATTGTATCTTAATCTATTTCACAATTGTGTGAGAACTTTAAAAACTGGATGTCAAGTTAGTGAGGTTAAGGTCCAGGTCCTTTTTGAAGAATCAGTTGTTTGTTTATAATTTTATACAGTCCCATACCCCAAAAAAAACCCTTTCCTGTCAAACACAAATTCTATGAAAATAGTAAACCTCCATATTTCTCTAACACACTTAAGTCAATGTTCTTATTTGAGAATCTGAGCCTATGTGAAATTTTTTAAAATCAGAACTAAATGTTTTTCTTTGCCTTCAAATGAGCACACTCTAAATTTTTCATATGTAAATGATCAGTGTGTAATTAATTGCAAAATAATTCACTGCTCTTGTTGGGCCAATTCTATGACCAGCCACAGAGTGGATAGTATTGAGTTGTTGGGACGTATAAGATTGTAAACTAGTAGACCCTCAGTACTGGAATTAAGTCTATGTTCTAAGCCTGCATGTGTATCCTCACAGAAGACTGTAAAATGCAGGCTTACTTTCAATCCATTCAGTCCGTGATTTATGGAGGCATGTAGGTCAGGAGTTTATTATGCTGAAAATCATAATAACCGTTTGTTTTGCTTTTCAAAATGAAGTGGCCAAAGCATGTTGAAAGATAAATGGGTGAAGCATTTTGATTATGCTTTTATTTCTATTAAAGATTAAATATTATTGCCAAGTAACCAGCCATGCTAAGTATTATGATATTAAAGCTGAAGTAGTTTGTAAGCTGATAGCCCCTTCTTTCCTCTGGATTTAGGTTTGTTATTAATCAAAATGTTGGACTTGTTTAATGCAGTGGTGTATGAAACAGTTGAAAAAGACAGCTCCTTTAATTTACGGCTTTCTGTTTTTTTCAAATTTGTAAGAAAATCTGTTTCTTCTTGTGGACTTTGTGCTGTTGTTCATGTGTCTAGATTTCGTTTCTTATACCAGAGCCAACTAAATCCCATAGTTGCAAGATTCTCTCATGGCATAGAAAGAAAAAACGTGCCTTTTTATGTTTTTAATTGACAAATTCTGATAAAGGCATTTTTGAAACATGGACAATCCCTACTAAACATGGATAGTACAAAAACCTGTCTGTATTTTTGGACAAAAAATGGGATAATTTTTAAATAGAAGAATGTGTATACAGAAAGTTATTAATAAGTAACTAAGATAGTGAGGTCTTTTAGTGTCCATCTAGAGTATTGAATAAAATTATTTTAAAGGGTATATGATTCCAATTTCTTCCTGGTGTTGGCTTAGGCATCAACACTTGGAAAATTGCTAAGCACTTACTGTAATGCAATATAGGGGTCTGGGCTCCCCCAATGTGTGATAAAACAGCGGTCCCCAACTTTTTTAGCACCAGGGACCAGTTTCGTGGAAGACAATTTTTCCACAGGGGTACGGGGGGCGGGGAGGAGGGTAGGGCAGGGGGCAGGTGGAGCTCAGGCGGTGACCCAAGCCATGGGATCAGCCGTAAATACAGATGAAGCTTGGCTAAGCTCGCCCACCGCTCACCTCCTGTTCTGCAGCCTGGTTCCTAAGTTTCATGAAAGATAATTTTTCCACGGACGAGGTGGTGGGGAGAGGGTGGGAGGGGGTGGGGGTAGGCGGAGTTCAGGTGGTCACTGCGCCTGCGGACCGCTACCGGGGGTTGGCCACAGCAGTGATAAAGGACCTTTAACAGAACAGTCTTGCTGCTCTTCTAAACTTGTTTCTAATCAGTGGCAATACATTTGAAATTTCTAAGGACTACACTTCGTGTACTGTGTTTCAGCATAGATTGTAAGAAGTTTTGAAGAAAAAGAACACCTCTCGGTATCTGAAACAAAGGCTTAATTTATTACTCACTTAAGTAAAAAGGAGCTGAGCTTTTAGGCACAGTGTCTCCAAGCAAAGCTGGTTGCAAATCTTTACACAGAGCTTTGGGGTCAGGAATGTTTAGGAGTTGACATCAGCTCAGAAGCGCCATTATTCCAAATAGGCTGTTGCTGATTGGCCGGCTTTCAGAAGCGGGTCAGTCTGCTGCTGATTGGCCAACTTTCAAAAGCATGAGGCTGTCACTGGTTAGTTGGCTGTCAGAGGTATATTTACTGAAGTGACTCGGCACTGATCATTTAGACCTAGGCAAGTCATCATTAATTGACTAAATCCAGTTTAATTGTTTTTCCAACTGGTTCTAGTGGTTTACTTATTACCATGTACTACCATGGCTGTAGAACAATCAGCCTTTTTCTGAGAGTGAGAGATTATCTCACTCTCAGAGGCTAATACTTAAATACTGTAGGAAATTGAAAGCACAAGAAAATCAGACTTTGCAATGATTGTATCATGCATTTTCTAAGTAAGAGCGTTTACTAAAGCAATAAAAGTATAAAAAGTCAGCAGCTCTCATGTGTGATGTGGCATATTCATGTGTTGAGATAGTTATGAAATTTGATACAAATAATATATTATTAATAAGGTATAGAAATGTGAATGTGATTTACCTCATTTGGTAAATTAAAGTGGATTCTAGGTCATCCATATGATAATATCACTCATACACACTGCATTCCAGTAAGCTTTCTCAAGTGGATGGAAGGAGGTGGGAATGGTACGTAAGCTTCAACCTGTCAGCCCTGGTGAGCAGCAGCTACTGAACCCTTAGCACTAATGGTGTCACTACTATTGTAACATTTAATTTCCCTCCCAACATAATAGTTTTGTTTTCTTTGTATAAAAACTGAACTTTTCTCTTTCCAAATTCATCAACTGCCCTGCAGTCCTGTCTTTTGACTTCCATGTTTATTCCTGACACTGTGTAATGAGGGCAGAGCTAATTACTTTACGTATTTCCCTGCTGCTAAGGATAGCCAGCTTATGATCACTTGAGATTCAAGCACATGTTGATATCTTAAGACCAGTAAGCTTTTGATAAAGTAGGAGAGCAGGATGGTTAGATTTGTTGCAGTTGACTGTAAGAAGAGGACATTAGTCCATAGAGTTATGCCGAAAGTCTAGTTTCCTTTTGTATGAAAAAGAATATTTTTTTAACCCAGCAACTCCCCAGAAAAGGGAATCATAACACCACTTGAACATCACTTTTAAATTTTCTTAATATATGTCCTATTCTTGACCCATTTAACTACTGAAAACAAAAAAATCAGATAGGACTGGTTTATTGTATGGAGTTTTGCTCTGTAACCTGGCTCACTCTGGCTAAATGAATGTGCTGTTTAAAGAAAGCAGACAGAGTGTTCTCTGAGTTTAGTTTGAGGAATACTTCCAGGTAGAACTCTTTCAACCTCTCATCAGGGGAGGAACCTCAAATGAAGACTGAAGCAAACAGACGCCCTACTAGAAATACAAACCAGCAGAACAAACTCCAGACATGTTTTTCAAATTTAAGAGTTTTCTGAGCAGTTGGTTTCCATGTGGTATAAGCACCAGTAAACAACAAACCCATCTTGGTGTTCTGTACCCTTATGGTTTATTATGCCAGTGATAGTGGAGTATAGAATTTCTACTTTCAGGTCCCATGCCAGAATCACTGAACCTCTCTCCTTCTTTAGGATGTCACATGTACTTCAATTTGAGGATAAAAGTAGAAAAGTGAAAGACGCAAGCATGCAAGACTCAGACACATTTGAAATCTATGATCCTCGGAATCCAGTGAATAAAAGAAGAAGGGAAGAAAGCAAAAAGCTGATGAGAGAGAAAAAAGAAAGAAGATAAAAATCAGAGTAATGATAACTAGAACTTCCTGGAAATGTGCCTGCAATATATGGCCTTGTAACAGCCATTGTTCCCACAGACAGCAATCACTTAGGGGTGTGAAAAGAAATATTTTTGAACCTGTTGTCTGGTTTGAAAAAGAATTATCTTGTTTTGCAAATTGTAGAATGTTGTAAGCAAATGCTTTGGGTTACTGGTACATGCTTTTTTCCTAATTGACTTTTTATATTGCTAAATCTGAAATAAAATCACTTTCCTTCCAGTTTACTACGTGTTAACCATTTGCAGACTGTGTAAGCCTATTTGTGTCTGTGTACCCTAAATACGCATATGCTTCCTTTTCAAGATTTTTTTTTATAAGAAGTTCTTGCAGAAAGAATATTTGAGGGTGTAATCCTAGCACTATGGAAGGCTGAGGCGGGAGGATTGCTTGAGCTCAGGAGTTCAAGACCAGCCTGAGCAAGAGCAAGACCCTGTCTCTAAAATTTAAAAAAAAAAAAAAAAAGAATATTTGAGGGAAACCTTCCAGGCACTAACTTTGGAATATAATTAAAAAGTATAAAATGTCAATAAAAAATAAAAGTATGTAAATATTGATGGTTTTACTTTGCATGTAAATATCTAAAAATAGCCAAGCTAGTATGACTTAATAGCCTCATGCCTTAAATCTTGAGGAACCCCCAAGTGAATGTTCATGCCACCATGTAGGCCAGCACCTGGGTTTTAGGCGGTCAGGACACTCTAATACTCTAAGTGACGTCAGCCGAGCACAGTGTACACCCCAGCCTGATGCCTGGCCACCTGCCCACTTCTCTCCCCTTCTCAGCACAGCAACAGCAAAAGCACATGCAGATGTCTCATTCTGGCAGTAAAAACTCATTAAGAATTTAGCCTTTGATGACAATCATTCATACTGGTTATTCATTATATATTATCTACATTTAGTCAATTTATTCTAGAATCTGAATACTAAAACTGTACCACAGGTGAATGTCAGTCACCTTACCAGTCACATCTTTTCAATAGTGTCTCATCAGCTCTCTCTTTCAAAATGTAATCTAAACAAAAAAATGTAATCTAATAGGCTTTCTCTAGAGCACTGATTCTCAAAATGTAATTCCAGATGCTACACAACAGCAGCAGCAGCACTTGAGAACATGTTAGAAATGGAAATTCTTGCCATACTACCCACCACTATCACCACTCTTCCAGACTACCAAATCTGAGACTTTGAGTCCTGAGGGCTTGTTAAGCAGATTGATGGGCCTTTCTGCTGGTGGTTCAACTTGTTTGGATATCTAGCAAAGTTAAAGATGTGTATATCCAATGATCCAAAAATTCTGATTCTGGGTCTATACCCTAAAGAAATCTCCCACATTGCTCAAAAAGAGGAGTACTAAGACAGATGTTGAAGCATCAACCAAAGAATGGATAAGTTTTTGCATATGCATACTATGGAATACTTTATAGAGGTGAAAATCAATAAACCAGAGCCATTATGTATTAGCATATCTTAAAAATAATGTGAAAAAGGAAACCACCCATATAAAAATATAAGACATACATACAATACATTATTATATATTGTTTATAGATATACACATATGTAGCAAAAGTATAAAAACGTGTGAAAATAGGGGTTACCTCTGAGGAGGAGGAAGGAATTCACAGGGGACTTCACTTGTATTTGTAATGCTTTATTCTTTTAAGCTAGATGGTAAGTACCCAATTCTCATTCTCTATACATTTTAGTATGCCTGAAATCTTTCATATTTTTTTCTTTATGATTATATCTAGAACCTGAAGTAAGAGGACAGAAGAATTCCCAGTACTAACAAGAACCCTTTCTATTTTGCTTCAGAAAGAAGAAAGCTTCAAGGAGAAGAGGGATATAATAGAGGTGCTCTGGGAAAATGTTAACCCACTCAAATGCAGACTCAAAGCCACTAAAAAATAAGCCAGTGTTTGGAAGTGTGCTCTATCTACTCCTTACCACAAAAGTTATAATATGGGTTTTATTTCAGATATTCACAGAGCAGAATTTTTGTTTTCCAAACTCACAAAGTCTCTGTTAGTTATTCTGATATGTATTACCACTGAATCTCTTTGTATTGAAGAACCCTAAAGGTTTCTCTACCATTTCTCCTGGAATGTGTCCACCTTACCAATTCAGTATTATCCCAGGAACAGAGGGAGCCCCAGACCTTCATTGCACAAGCCAGAGAATAAGATTTGTAGACTTAAAAGATGACTGAATGACAAAATTAAAACATCAGTTTGGGCCAGGTGCAGTGGCTCATACCTGTAATCCTAGCACTTTCGTAGGCTGAGGAGGGAGGATCACTTGAGGCCAGGAGTTCAAGACCAGCCTCAGCAACATAGCGAGACCACATCTCTACAAAAAGTAAAAAAATTAGCCCGGTGTCATGGCGTGTACCTGTAATCCCAGCTACTCGGGAGGCTGAGGCAGAAGGATCACTTGAGCCCAGGGGTTTAAGGTTGCAGTGAGCTATGATGATGCCACTGCACTCTAGCCCAGGCAAAAGATAGAGACCCCGTCTCAAAAAACAAAAACAAAAGCAAAAACCAAAAAAACCCACAGATCAGTTAGTTTGGTTGAATGTTCCTCATCCTGCTTTAACCGCAAGGAGCAGAAAGATCTGCAATTCCACAGAAATTAGAATTCTTCTTACTAGAAGAATTTCAACAAGCCAATAAAATTCACCATGAATTTAACTGAATAATAGCAATAATAATTTTGGTAAAAGCTTAAGAACATAGTTAAATTATCTGTTAAATATTGTATTAAATGTGCTCGTATAAAGCCTTTGGAAATGTTACAGGAATATGTTTGGGCCAAATGAATTTCAAAAAAGAAAAAAAAATTCCAAAAAATGAAAACATGTTATAAAATTAGTCTTTAAATTTTATTCTAATTTTGTAATTGAGTTTATTTTTCTTTTATGTGTCCTACCCTAGGGAGGTTATCCTGAGACAGGGAAGCCTGTTAGCATTCTTGTTCATTGCCTATGACAATGCTGGACATTCCGGAAAGCGAAGTAAAAAGCAACTCCTGGCAATTTTTTTCTCATTTTATAACAAGCCATTTTTTTACTTTGGTTGAAGCCATTGGCAAGGCGAAAGCTAAAGCTCCCTAGACCTCTCCTTTCCCTGTAAGTGATAATGTACAAATTCATCATTTAAATTTTTTTAACTGTATTTTGGGTTAGGAGTTGGGAAATCCTACCTGGAGAGAAAACGGGTAATTGAAGTAAATTCAGATCTCTCTAGAATTTGTTAATGATATAATATTGAAACACATGTTGTCTCATGCCTTCAGCTCTCTCTAGCTTCTGAGGCCACACAGGCAGTAATGCATGTGCTGCATCTAAAAATGGGGACACCATAGAACAAGGACATTAAAAAGTGTGAGGAGATGAGTGGTTTGCTGCTGTTGTTTTTAGAACAAGCTCAATAAGCTATGGTGTCCTTATCAAACTGTCACTACCAAGTTTCTTGATAAGATCTGACGTGTGAGGTACATAAACCTGTTCTGTTGTATCAGTGTGGCCTGTATGGAAAAGGTTAGATAAATGCAGAATATTGCCAAAACATGCTGTTTAATCTTGGCGATAACAAGAGAGAAAATGGAGGTGTGAAGTGAGTTACCATTGAGGGTTGTATCAGTATAAGCAATTTGTCTGTAAGGGGTGTAGAGAAGTTAAGAGGGGTTACATTCTTTAACGCTGTCATTCACAAAAAAAGAGCAGGTCTGCTTCTGCTTTCTCTACAGCTTTGACTCTGTTCCAGTAACTGTAAACAGTTTATCAGGTGGTACCCTTTCTGCTTACTAGAAAGCAGGAAGTATATTTTATCTCCTTTCTTCTTTTGGCTTTTAATGAAGAGAAGTGAAACCAGAACCATATTGTAGAGAAATCCTTTCTAATAAAGGCTTGATGAAATTCAAATTCTGAGAGAAATAATAAAACACCAAATCTTACTTGGTTTAGAAGTCCTATGTTTGTAGAAAGAATACTCATTTACTTCCCAAAATCCACCTGCCACCACCGCCAAAGCCATAGATGACTATCTTTGTCACAGGTGCTAAGAGTTTCATTAATCCCTGTGGAAAGTTGTTTTCAGTGATATGCTTGGAAACCAGCTCCCTAACAAAAAGGAAAGAAGGAAAAGTCTTAATCTGCAGCATTTGCTTATTTCTATGGTGTAAGTCCTCTCACAATGGCTGATTTCAAGCCACCAAAGGCAGCTCCAGTATACAACGGGTTATTTTTCCCATTCTGTTTCATTTCTAGCTAAAAGCTTATACAGTAATTCTTGCATTAGCACTAAAAAACTCACTCAAAGGTTTGAACCCTTTGCCAGGATCACAATCTTCATGCACATTTCTATTGATGCGATCACTTAATTTGGTCAAGTCCTAAGTTCTAGCAATATCTGCTCTCTATGTTTTTTTGACTAGTTTGTATCTTTAGATTCTCTGTTGATAGAGTTTTCCAAAACCACTTGCCTTACATATTTCCCCCTGCTTGTCTTTTTTGCCCTAGTCAGTCATATGTCTAATTCAAGAAGAAAACCAAATCTTACAGAAAAAAACAGGCAGGACGGGGGAGAAGGAAGGAAAGAAATGTGATTATATACTTTGAATTATCCCTAAAGTGATAATGTACGAATTCATCATTTAATTTTTTTAAACTGTATTTCGGGTTAGACAGTGGGAAATCCTACCTGGAAAGAAAAGATGGTTTCTAATGAAATGCAGACGGGAGTCTGGTCTCTCTCTTCCACATCTGCTGGGAATTATTCCCTTAAGATTAGATCATGCTATAAATTCACATCACTTGATCAGCAAAAACATCTTCTGGGGGCTTTCTTCACAGCCCCAGTCAAAAAGAAGGTGTTCTTGGTCTATTAGAAAATTATTCTTTCTCATTCTCATGATGCCAAAAATGATAGTCATTGCTAAAGTTCTGGCACCTTTTAAGTAGGATAATTTTGAAAGCAGGAAATTCATAAGTGACTTTCCCATTTTCTGAATTTGCTCTAGCTGGAGATTTATTATGGTATTAAATATTTTAATAACAATATACTTGAAATGAAGGGTACCATGTATAGAAAATAAATGACTACCTTAAAATATATGTTCTGTGGTTAGTTCCCAATAGT